CGCTGGAGGCCCCTTGTGGGGGCCCCACAGGGGCCCCCACAAGGGCCCCAGCCAGCAGCCATACTGGGGGCCCTTTTAGACCCTCCAGATATTTAAAGGGCCCCTCTAGGGCCCTTTAAATATCAATATGGGGGCCCCTGTGGGGCCCCCACAGGGGCCCCACAGTGTGTGAGGGGGCCCCTCTGCTTTGGCTTAGAATGAAGGGGCCCCCGTAAAGGGCCCCCAAATGAATGTGTGCGTTATTGAAGTGTATCTTCAAAGTGTTGTTGGACAGCATTTTGAATTTTGACGAAGTTGATTCGCCAGTAGTTAGCGATTTCTTCCTTAGTAAGAAGACGCAACAGGCTTTCTTCAGAAAGCGTGAGGCCCTCGCTGATACTGCGACATCTTTGTTTATATTCTTCTTTGTAAGCCTCAGACCCATTAATACGTCGGCTCTTCATAAAGGGCAGCATGTAAGCCTTCACTAGGTCTACCTGAAGATAAACAAACAAAAGAAAAAGAAATGAATGAATGAAGATCAAGATAAAGGCCCTCATACACTCTACTTAATAAAAATACAAATAATATGAGCATGAATATACAGCACAATGCATCAGCAGGAAGTAAAGAAAACAGCAGAATAATAAACATATCAATAAACAAATACAAATAAAATACAACAAAATCAAACAACAAACAAAACGAAACAAACAAAACAAAACAACAGCAGAAGAGAGCAGCGAATCTGTTTATTAAAGACAGCAAATAGAAAGATAAAGTAAAAATAATTAAAAAGAAAAAGAAAAAATCAAACAACAAAACACAAAACAAAAAAACAATAAAACGCTCACAGTGCAAATACCCCACAGACAGACTGACAGACACACATCGTAAATAATAATAAATTATATAATAATAATAATTAATAATAATAATAATAATAAACTATAATAATAATAAATTATAATCAAAAAAGAATAATAAATAATAAGAAGAATAAATAATAAGTAGTAAATAATAATGGATGTTGATGATAATAATAATTAAAATAATAAATAATAAAAAATATAAAAACAAAGAACAAATATAACTAACAAGAGACTGCGAAGGCTTTAACTTTATTTGTTTTTTCTGCTTCTCCTTTCTTCGATGATGTGTGGGGCCCCTCTCACTATCAGGGGGCCCCCAGGGGGCCCCCATAGCAGCAGCATGGTCTGAATCTGCTGCTGCTGCTGCTGCTGCTGCTGCTGCTGCTGCCTCTTTTATTACTGCTTCTTCTTGTCTTTCTTGCGCTTCATCTGTTTTAAGGAACAGAAAACAGCAGCAACAAAACAAACACAGAAAACCTACTTCATGAAGAAGAGAGATAAGACAAACAAAAAACAAACAAAACATAAAAATTATCTGCTGGAGGCCCCCTAAAAGAAGAATAACAGAAAGAAGAGGAAGAAGAAAAGCAGATAATTATAAATAATGATAATACACAAATATTTGACGCACTAGGTTTGCTTCTGCTTCTCCCTGCTGCTGCTGCTGCTTCTGCTGCTGCACCACCTACACCAGCACCAGCAGCAGCAGCAGCAGGAGCGTCTGGTGTCTGTACAGCTCTGCGAGTTCTTTCCCTGTCGATATCTAACAAAATTTGTGCCCTTAGAAAATCATCAGCAGCAGATTCTGCTGTCTCTCTTTCTTCTTGAGGCAACGGAGACTGCTCTCCTCCCTCACAAAAATAATCATATACTTCACCATCCTCTGCTTCCTCCTGCTGCTGCTGCTGCTGCTGCTGGTCCTGCTGCTGCTGCTGCTGGATGCGGAGTTTGTCTATGGGTGTAGTTGCTGTGCGTTTTGTTTCCGCTGCAGTGTCTGTGAGGCGAGGGTTGCTGCTGTTGCTGCTGCGGCTGTTGCTGCTGCTACTGCTGCTGCTGTTGCTGCTGTAGCTGCTGCTACTGTTGCTGTTGTTGTTATTGTTGCTGCTGCTGTTGCTGCTGTTGCTGTTGCTGTAGCTGCTGCTGTTGTTTGTGTGATTCATCTCTTGTGTTGTGTGGGTTTGTTCCTTAGGAGAAGCAGCAGCAGCAGCAGCTACCTGCTGCTGCTGCTGTCGCTGCTGCTGCTGCTGCTGCTGCTGTTTGTTGTCTCTTGCATGCATCAGCAGCAGCTCCTCTACTAGGTCTGCTCCTGTGGAGTCGCAGATGCTGCGGCCGCTGCTAACAACAACAGCATTTCTTTCAATAACTTTAATCCGCTTTCTGAGGCGCAGCGCTTCTCTTCTTTCTTGTCTTTGTTTTATTATCTCCAGCTTACGCCGCAGCAGCAAAGACATACGATCTCCTGCTGCTGCTGCTCCTCCTCCTCCAGCTGCTGCTGCTGCTGCTGAGGAGGAAGAAGAGGCAGCAGCAGCAGCAGCAGCAGGAAAGTGAGAAGAAGAAGCTGCAGCAACAGGACCTAAATAGAAACGAATTGTGCGTGAAGCAGAGACGGCAGGGTTTGCATCAGAAACTATTTCAGGGTGGACTATTCTGCTCCTTGCTGCTGCTGCTGCTGCTGCTGGAGCTGCTGCTGCTGCTGCTGAAGATGATGATGACTGTCTGCGAGGGTGAACAACCACAACGGAATCCTCGCCGGAGGAAGAATCTGAAGAGGTTTCATCTTCAGAATGTTGCTGCTGCTGCTGCTGCTGCTGCTGCTGCTGCTGCTGTGTTCTTCCTCGCCTACGACTTCCTGCTGCTGCTGGTGCTGCAGTTGCCGTTCTTCTCTTGCGTCTTGCTGCTGTTCTTGCAGGTGAGTTGCTGCTTTCTGCTGCTGCATTATCCCTTCTGGAGCTGCGTCTGCCTCTTCTGTTAATTCTTTGTACAACAGCATCAGACAAACGCTGCACCAGCGCCTCCCGCTGCTGCTGCTGCTGCTGCTGGTCTGCAGCATCAGAAGAATCTGCAGCAGCAGGAGACGAAGAAGCTTGTGTCTGTCTTCTGCTTCTCGGGGGCAGCAGCAGCCCCTCAGCCGATATTCGGCTTGAGGATATCCGTCTGCTCTGTGCATCTCTGCATATCCCGCTAGACCTACAACTAAAGCAAAACCAGCTAACTGTAGGCTTTCTGTCGAACCCAACACAAAAATAATGATATGCATGCATGCATAGAATATCTCCACAGCAAAGAGCCTCCCTAGCAGCGAGAATCCTGCTGCTGCAGACCCCACACACCAACTGCTGCTGCTGCTGCTGCTGCTGTTGCTGCTGCTGCTGCTGTTCATTGTGTGTAAAGATATCATCTATAATAGGGGTTTCTGCTGTATCTTTCTGATGCTTTAAACCGACTCTGCAGCAGCATAGACGCCTACCTTTTCTATTATATTTTCCTATCCAGCTAAAGCGTGTCTTACATTGAGGACAGCTGTTCTCTCTTTGCTTGCCCCACCTCTCTATACAGAAATAATGGTAGCTGTGCATACACCCCGATAGTAAACCGACTGCATGCAGAGGGTCTACGCTCTCGCCTTCATCCGAATCAGATAATAATACAACATCTTCTCCTGCTGCTGCTCCTGGTGCTGCTCCTGCTGCTGCTGCTGATGATGATGATGATGATGCTGCAGAAGATTCCCCTTCCAAGGCAGCAGCAGCACCTGCAGCAGCAGCATCACCACCTGCTGCATTGTCAGTTGCAGCTGCAGCAGCAGTAGCTGCTGCAGGATCATCATTATCAGCAGGAGCAGCAGCAGCAGGAGCAGCAGCAGCAGGAACGTCGTCGCTGAAGTCTCCAAGACAAACGCCGCAAGTCTCATCTAAGCGCAGCAGCTGCAAATCTATCCACAAAGGAAACAGCTTTTCTTCTGCTGCTGCCTTTGTTATTCGCTTTGCTTCGGGATAATTAACCAACTGCCGAGACTGCATCTTGTAAACAATATACTGCTGCTGCTGCTGCTGTTGCTGCTGCTGCTGTTGCTGCTGTTGCTGCAGCCCTGCAGCTGCGGCCAGTGCCACCTGTATTTGTGCTGCTGCTGTTTTTGCTGCTGTTTTCGCTGCTGCTGCTATTGTTGCTGCTGCAGCTGCAGCTGCTAGGAGATGAAGAATAACTAAAAGTAGATGCTGCAACGGGGAGAAAGAGAGTGTGGAGTGCGGTGAAGAGAGCCATAGGAAGTAATTAATATTCTAAAGAAGGACATACTTGAGTTTAGATATATCATAAAGAAAAGGAGCAAAAGAAGCAGCAGCAAAACTGCTTTGCTGCAGTGTTTGTCTCTGAGCTGTGTATTCTAAGAGGCTTTACAAGACCTCCTCTTTGCTGCTGCTTAAACAAAAAAGAAATAAAACTAAACGTCTGCTTCAATATGCCTAAAGGGCAGCGCAAGCAGCAGCAGCAGCAGCCCGAGCAGCAGCAGCAACAGCAGGCGGCAGCAGCAAAACAAGAAGAAGAGGGGTAGAAGAGCTGCAAGCTGTTATATACTCTGTCGTCTTTCCTTTCTTCTTTCTTTTGCTTTTAATCATTTCTACTTTTTTCAGTCTTTCGCCTCCACGCCCAACAACACAAAGCTGCTGCTGCAGCCCTGCAGCAGCAGCAGCAGCAGACGGGGCCTTATCAGGGGGGCCCCTCAAAGGTGAAGTTTGATGTTGAATAAACAAATAAATAAATTTTAAATAAATAATATTATTGAGTTTGCTTCTTTAATTGTTTTTTTAATACTAAAGAAATATCTAAACCCATACAGAGGTGAGCATACACACCAGAGCTGCCCATACACCGTAGATTTTGCTGCTAAGTATTAAAGAATAAAAAGTTTTAAAGATAAATAATATTAAAAATAATATTAAACTTTGTATTTATTACTCAGAGTTATTCTGATAAATAAATAAACAGCACCAAAGCAAGCATAGAGACGCGGCTTCACTTTTACTTGTATATTCTGTATATTATATAAATATATAATATATAAATAAATATGTAAATAAATATATAAATATATATATGGATATATATTTATATATTTATATGTGTAAATATATATATTTATTTACTAATATATTAATGTAGTTTTATACATCCATATATATTTGTACGTGCATTTATACGTATAAATACATATATACAATTGTATATACGAATATATAATATAAATATAAATATAAATATAAATAAATATATACATATATATAAACATATATATACATAAATATATATACAGGTATATTTGTATGAATCGCATGGAGGCACGACATCCCCTATCTATGTTATGGTTGTGCTGGCTAGCTAGCTGTTGCAGCTAGCTGCTGCTAGCTGCTGCTGCTAGCTAGCTGCTGCTGCTAGCTGCAGCTGCTAGCTGCTGCTGCTGCTAGCTAGCTGCCGCCCCCGAGGGGTCTTTGACGCCTCGCTGGGCCTCTTATCTGTCTAAGTTTCTGCATTGTATATCAATGTATATATTGAAGTGTATATTGAGGTGTATATACAAGCCAGGCTTCTTCCTGCATCTCTATATAGATCAGCAGCAAACTGCTGCTGCGCCTTCCTTGCCCTAGGGTCTTACCAGAACAGCAGCAGCGCCGACAGAGACAGAGTCAGCAGCAGCAGCAGCAGCAGCAGCAGCAGCAGCAGCAAAACTGAATATACAGCGGGTACGGCTCTGCTGTGAAGTGTATCACCAGCCCCAGCTAGACAAGCAAACTGCTGGCTAGCTAAGGAAGCAGGGCTGCAGCTAGCTGCCCCTAACTCCTTCATAGATGCATCTTTTCTAAAGTAGACAGCAGATCACCTCCTCAATGCAGCTAGCTAGCTAGCTAGCTAGCTAGCTAGCTAGCTGTTTGCTTAGCTGCAGCAGGCAGCAAGAGAGGAGGAGCCCCTCACCCCTATCAAAACACTAAAAGATATTTCTCTGCACTGTCTGGAGAGCAGCGCCTACGTAATTGATGAAGAAGGTCCATCTGCTGCTGTTGCTGCTGCTGCTGCTGCTGTAGCTCCTGCTGCTGCTGCTGCTGCTGCTGCTGTAGCTCCTGCTGCCGTTGCTGCTGCCCCTAGGGAAGAGACAGTAGAGGTGCAGCAAACCTCCTTATCCTTTCTTACACCGTCGGTGTCTTCCGCCATTGCCAAACCCTTGCTGCTGCTGCTGCTGCTGCTGCTGTTGCTGTTGCTGCTGCTGCTGCTGCTGCTGCTGTTGCTGCTGCTGTTGCTGCTGTTGCTGCTGTTGCTGCTGCTGCTGGCATGTTCATTTGGTGCTGTTTGTGCCGTACGCGTTTGTATGCGTGTTGCTGTTTCCGCTTCCTCTGCTGCTGCTGCTGCTGCTGCTCCTCCTCCTCCTCCTCCTCCTGCTGTAGCTCCTCCTGCTGTTGCTGCTGCTGTTGCTGTTGCTGCTGTTGCAGCAGGGCTTTGCTTGGGGTGAGGATATCTGTGTGATCTGCGTGAATGCTGATGGAGCTGCAGCAGCAGCTGCGCCTGAGGAGGGGGGCAGCAAAGTGCTGTATACTGGCGAACGAAGTCCCAGTGCTCATCGATAATAAAGGAGACAAGAGAGTGAAGCAGCGATTGAAGAGCAGGTATAATAAACAGCAGCTTAGGGTAAGATAAACCAGGCGGCAGCAGCAGCAGCGAGTTGCAAGGCTCAGGCTGCTGCTGCAGCAACTGCTGCTGCAGCAATGCAAAACCCTCGCTCCCCAGCACACCCATTGTTCGGGTAAGAGCATTAACTAGCAATTCGTATAAACCCTCCTTGCTGCTGCTGCCGCAAGAAGAAGCAGACGCCGGCTCCTCAATCTTCTTTGCTGCTCCTGCTCCTGCTGCTCCTGCTGCTGCTCCTTCTGTTGCTGCTGCTCCTGCTGCTGCTGCTCCTGTTGCTGCTGCTCCTGTTGCTGCTGCTCCTGTTGCTGCTGCTCCCGTTGCTTGTGCTGGTGCTGCTGCTGCCGCAGTTATTCCCTGCTGCGGAGGCAGCTGCAGCGTCATAGGCGGGTCGGCTTCAGCTGCTGCTGCGGCTGCTGCTGCTGTTGCTTCTGCTGTTGCTGCTCTAGCAGGCAGAAACACTTCGGGGCTCGTAGTCGGTGAGCAAGTGGTTGTTAGAGGAGAGCTGCTGGTGGGAAGCGTGCTGCTGCTGCTGCTGCTGCTGTTGCTGCCGCAAGACACTCCACAAGTCCCGTGCTGCTGCTGTGCCTGCTCCTTACCTCCCTTGACCAGCTCCTGTTGCTGCTGCTGCTGTTCTTGCTTCTGCTGTTGCTGCTGTTGTTGCTGCTTCTGTTGCTGCTGCTGGAGTCCCGGGAAGATGCGGTGCAGCACTTCCATTTGCGGTGCTGCTGCTCCCTCCAGCATTGTCTTTGCTGCTGTTTGATTCTTGTTTTGCTGGTTGCTGCTGCTGCTGCTGAGAACAGCAGACAGCAGCAGCAGCAGCGTTTCAATGTGCTGCTGATCGCATGCACAGGGCCTTGTGGGGCAGCAACAACGGGAAACATCAAACGGCCGCAGCAGCAAACCCTGCAGCGCTGCTTCGCTATCAATCACCACTTCCTCCCAAGTGCTGTTGTTGCTGCTGCTGTTGCTGCTGCTGTTGCTGCTGCTGCTGTTGCTGCTGCTGCTGTTGCTGCTGCTGCGGCGGCGGCGGCGAAGAACAAGAGGCAGACAAGAAGACCCCGTCGCGCGTATGATGAAGTGTATATACACCGGGACAGGCAGCTGCAGCTGTGTTACTGATGCTGCAAGCTTTTGGTGCTGCACCAGCAGCGCGAAAGCCATGCAAATTCGTTCTTCCTTCTCCTGTTGCTGCTGCCGCTGCTGCTTCTGCTGCTGTTGCTGCTGTTGGTGGAGGGCATGTTCTGCTGCAGCAGACGCTGCAGCAGGTGCTGCTGCTTTGTTGTTCTCTATCTTGCGGAGTTTGAGAGGAGATTGTCCCTCTGGGGCCGCATTTGCTGCTGCTGCTTCGCTGTCTTCACTGTCCTTGCTGCAGCCACGCCCCCTCTCTACTGCTGCTGCTGCTGCTGCTGCTCCGGCTGCTGCCGGTTCGGGCGATGCTCCGCCTTCTCTGCGTTCTGTCGTTGCTGCATTTTTTGCTGCTGCTGTTTCTGTTGTTGCTGCTGTAGGAGGAGCTGTAGCTTCAGCAGCTTCTGCTTCAGCAGCAGCAGCAGCAGCAGCAGCAGCTTGGTGGCTCCTCGCCTGCTGCGTCAAGGCTGCTGCGTGCTGCATAACAGCTTTTATTTGATAGATTAAAAGACAAGAGCTGCTAGAGAGTTCAGTTACTACGCGGCTGAGAGACAGCAGCAAAGAAGGGGTTGCTCCAGGCACCCAGCTGCTGCTGCTGCTGCTGCTGCTGCTTGGGTCTTGTCCAGAAGCATGCCGAGGGATATCATTTCTGCTGCTGCCGCGCCCTTCTGCTGCTGCTCTGCAGCCGTTAAGGGATTCCTGCAGCTCAGGAATAAGCGCCTTCATACAGTCAACCCTGCTGCTGCTGCTAGCTGCTGCTGAAGACCGAGCAGGCGAAGCAGCAGCAGCGCGAAGCAACGCACTGGCAGACGAAACTCCGCAGCCATTTCTCCCGGTGCTGCTGCTCCCCCTTCTGTTGCCTCCTGCAGTGCTGCTGCTGCTGCTGCTGCTGCGCTGCAGTGTGAATTGATTGAAGTCGTGGAAGGCCAGGTGCAGCAGCGCTTCTCTGTCTTGCGGGGCCCCAGGGGGAACAGAGTTGTTTATGCTGCGCGTTGCTGCTGCAGCATTTATCTTCTCTCGAACAAACTCTTTAAGAAAACAATCAAACCAAGCAGCAGTTTCTTCATTGGGCCCTGGGGCCTCATACACTGGGGGGGCCCCCATTCTCGCTCTTAGCTGCCTCTTGCGTCGCAGCTCTTCAGGCGCTCGCTGCAGCGGGCTTCTCCTCCCCTGCTGCAGCTCCTGCTGCTGATCCTGTGGCTCCTGCTGGTGATGGTGATGATGCTGCTGCTGCTCCTGCTGCTCCTGCCATGCTAAACCCGCACTGCACTGCGCAGCGGCTGCTGCAGCCGATGCCTGCTGCTGCTGCTGTTGCTGCTGCAAGCTGCTGGGGGCCCCTCCACCACCCAAACTCAGCGCAGTTTGGAAAAGGCCCTTAGGGGCTCTCAAGAGGTACCGGGGAGGGCTGGCAGCAGCAGCTGCAGCAGCAACAGCAGCAGCAGCAGCTCGGTGTGTCTCGACTCTTGTGGAGGCCCCTCTTCTGTCTCTGCTGTCTGTGCAGTTAGCAACTGATCTCCGGTTTGAAAGAAGGGAGCCCCCAAGGGGCCCCTCCGCTTCTGCTGAGGACGAAGAGCCTGCTGCGGCCAAGTGCTCTGCAGCAGCTAGCTGCAACAGCTGCTGCTGCTGCAGCTGGCGCTGCGAGAGCTGCTGCTGTTGCTGCTGCGGCTGTGTCTGCGGCAGCTGTTCCTTCTCATTCTGAGGGGCGTCGATATCCATCGCGGTATTCTGCTGCTGCTGTTGGTGCTGGTGTTGCTGGTGTTGCTGTTGTTGCTGCAGTACATGTTGCTGCTGCAGCAATTGTTGCTGCTGCAGCGGCAGCGTTTCGTAGGTGTTAACATAAGCAGCAAACTTCAGCGCCAATTGATGCGCCGTATCATATCCATAAAACTTCGCACTGTATGTTCGCATTCTTCTCTTGCCGTTCATATAATATCTTACCCTCCACTCTTGCTTAGCCACATGATAATGAGGCCGGTTGCCTCCCAGGGTTGCGTCCACACGCTGCACTCCCATCTCATTTGGGGGGCCCCCTAAAGAGGGGCCCCCCAGAGGGGATCCTCCAGAGGGGCCCCCTAACGGGGGGCCTCCAAGGGGCCCCCCGGAGGGGCTACCAGGGGGACCCCCCATAGAAGTCCTAAGGACTGCAAGTGAAGGAGAACCCGATGCACTCTGCAGACAATTGGCTGCTGCAGCAGCAGCTGCTGCTGCAGCAGGAGACGATGCGTGAGGAGAGAATGTACAAGACGATAGGGCCCCAGTGCTGCCGCTGCTGTTATGGTGGCGGCTTGACGAATCCTGACCACCTGCTGCTGCACCAAGGAGGCCCCCAGCAGCAAATCTGCCGTTCAAACAGCCTCCACTGCTGCTGCTGCTGCTGCTTTTCGAATGGGGGAGGCCTTCTGCTGCGGCGCACCCCTCCCGTTGGCGCCATTCAGAGAGGAGTAGCTCAGAGAGATTCGCAGTATCGAGCTGCTGCTGCAGCTGCTGCTGCAGCTGCTGCAGCTGTTGCAGCTGCTGACGCTGCTGCTGTTCCTGCTCGAGCATTTCGCTGAGCAGGGCAGCAGCGGCAGCAGCAAACCTTGACTCCAGAGGCGGGCGCCGCAGCAGCAAAGATAAAGACACACGATGCGGGGCAGTGCAGGCAGAGGCTATTACGGCCCCTGCTGCTGCTACTGCTGTTGCTGCTACCGCTGTCCCTGCTTCTGCTGTCCCTGATTCTGCTGTCTATGCCTTTCCTTTTCTGCTGAGAAGCAATGGCAGCAGCAGCAGCAGCAGAACGGGCAGCAGCAATGTGGGGCGGCCGGCAAGCCCGCAAGAAGATGCCGGTTCCACCTCTTTAAGTAGCAGATATAAAGTTTAGCTGCAGAAGCTCTAAAAGGGCCTGCAGCAGCAGCTCCTGCTGCGTATGCGGCAGCAGCGGCTGCTGCTACGGCTCGGCTACCTGCAAGCGTTGGAGGAGTGTCTGTGGACGCTCCGCTGGAGCAGCAGCAACAGCTGCAGCAGTAGCTGCTGCAGCAACAGCGGCAGCAGGTCTAGGCTGATTTTTGAAGCCAGAGACAGACATGCTCCTTGCAATGGCTGCCGTGCCAGCGCAGCGCGGATTAAGGGCCCCGCAAAGAAGCTCAGAGAGGGGCCCCCTGCTGCTGCGTTGTGTAGCTGCTGGGCTCCTGGGCCCAGTTGGAGTCAAATGGCAGCTTAGATTGTTGGTGAAGGTTCTGCGCTGCTGCTGCTGCAGGTCAGAGGAGAAAGAGCTATCGACGCATATCTTCAAATCAGGGCCCACACGAACCAGACAGCAGAACGCCTCCCGTCCATAGGGGGAGGGGAAGGGAGGCAACAAGCATACAGGCAAAGCCTGCTCCTGCTGTCAATGGTTGAGCTGCATCCGCAAGAAACTGCTGCTGCAGAGGCCGCAGCAGCACCAGCAGCAGCAGCACGGCGAAGCGCTGGCGCTCGCGGTCGCTGTGGCAATTCGCGCAGGCTGCTTGCTGCCTTTCTCTCCTTGTGGAAGTAAACAGGTAGAAGAGAAGAAAAGGAGAAACCAGAAAGGAGATAGAGCGCAACGAACCTACAAGCCCTGGGCCGACGGTGGTCGGGGGCGGTCTCGGCCTGTGGAGGCTGGGGGGTTGAGTAAGAGTGTATGGAATTAGAGGGAGATCAAGTTGTATGTGAGATTTAAATTCATATTTCACGTGTTTTCGTTGTTTATACACTAAAAAACACAGAATCCACCGCCCGAAGAGGCAAAAAAAGGAGCGATCCAGCGCCTATTCATGAATGAGCGACGGTCTCGCCTCCGCCACTGGGATGTATGTGAATGCCCAGTGGCGGTGTACAGATACTGGGGCCTGAACTGGTTGTAAAAGGAAACTAAAAGCGTAAAAATAAACAAACCCCTCATGAAAACACAAAAAAACCAGGAGCAAACCCTCAATTAAAAGGCCTGACACTCTCCTAGGCCGGCCTTCTTTAGGCGGCCGCCTCGCCCCCCCCGACCCCGAACCGCCGCAGATCAACAAGAAGAGAAAGCTAAGTGATCATTGGTGTTCCCATGATTAAAAATTGTTCATTCTTTGGAATTACACCATATTAATCAAGACGAATCCATTGAAGACAATTATTAAACCAATTTTTCTACATTTTAGCGAGGATCGCTAAGCTGCACGGATTACCGAGTGGCGGCCGCCGACGAGCCTCCTCCGCCCTCACTCACCCGCATCCATAAGAAATGCAGACTGAGTCAAAAACAAACTTCTTTTTGTTTTTGTACATGTCAAAAAAAGGGCTTAGTTGCCCCTCATCAATGAAAAAACTAGCGAAGAATGCGCAAAGGGCCAGTGGAGCGGTCGGCAGACCGCTGGGGCCTGCAGTCGTTTCTGCAAAAACGCAAAGTGAAAGCAAAAAAGAGAAAAACTTAACGTCTAGAAAGGCCATTGTTTTAAAGAAAGTTGAAATAAACACTTTCTCTCCCTCGCACTTGCAAAGACAAACTCTCAGCACCGCTCAGAGAGAGAAAGAAGACATATACTACGCTGTAAGAGAATGTATGCCTCGTGAGTGAATAAGAACGCAGAACAAATTGCAAATACAAGGACTCCCTAGCTGCTATTGAATAATCCGTCTATTCATTTATTCATATATTCATTTATTACTCCCAACATATCCTTCATCAGGAGTTCGTTTCTACTGTATTGCCGCCAAGCACACTATATCCGCATTTCTTTCATTTGTGCGTCTCATTCGTAGCATTTCTCTGTTCTAAGCGGCATATTTCCTCTCCCCTTCAGTATATTGAATTGTTTATTTGTTTCGACCTCCAGCAGCGCCCTGAGAAAACACAATTTAAAATAGAAGGGCCTCAAGACGCAAGCGCCTCTATCTTCTTTGCAGCTCTCCAGTCTGCCGGGTATTGTAAACAATATAAAAAATATTCGAAGTCTATTATATTATCATAAATATACTATATTAAATTTAAACACTATGTATATATAATACATCTATTACGACAGCAGACAGCAACGCAAAAAAAAAGAAAACGCCAACATGAATAGCTCGGAAGAAGAAGACTGCGAGAAGCAAAGCAAAGAATTCTAACTAAAGACAACCGCCTCAATATGCCTTCTTTGAATCGAATTCTTCTGTTTTGCTCTCCTTTTTGTCTGTCTTCTCTCTCCCACTCTTTCTGCTCTCTCTCCCTTTGCTGTTTTACTATGCTTCGCTATTTCTCTCTTTATCTGCCTGTCTGCCTCTAACTACTCTTTTTCTGCTCCGCTACCGGTGCTGCGCCGATACACAACCTGCCGCCTGTCTGCTCTCTACTACATGCCCTGTCTTAGTAGCCATTGTCTTCTTTTACAAGAGAAAGATGTATGCTGTATTGAGCGAGATGAACGAAAACAAAATCAAACGAAAGCAGCAAACAAACAAAGAGTCCCTAGCGGCGCTGACACAGCCGGCTAGCGCAAAGCAAGAAGACAAGAAGAGCCCTGCCGCAGCTGCAGCAGCAGCTGCTGCCGCAGCTGCAGCGGCTGCTGCTGCTTCTGAAGGAAGACAACTCAAATATATATCGCTTGTTGCTGTTGAAAGAAGGCAAATGCGTCTGTCTGCAAAGACAGATATAAATAGTATGTCTCTTTCTGAATGAGAAGAAAGGCCCTGCCTTCTTCTTTTTGAATCCGCTTCATGCAGCAACAGCCACAAGCACAACCTCAGTCCCTGTTGCTGCTGTTGATGCTGAGAGCAAGAAACAGCATGAGACAGATCAGGATGCCTTGGCTGCGCGAGATGCAGCAAACAGCAGAAGAAACAAACACCCCACAACCACACCATCTGCTGCACCCTCTGCTGCTGCTGGTGCTGCTGTTGCTGCTGTTGCTGCTTCCGCTGTCTGCTTCCGCTGTCTGTACAGCTGGGCGCCAGCATGAAGGGGCCGGAGGACCCAAGAGAGAGAAGAATTCCCACACACAGGTTGAGGGCTGCTGCGCATTTGTTGCTGCTGACGTTGCCGTTGTTGTTGCTGCTTCGGGTCTATTCTTCTCCTACTGTTCTTGCTGCTGCAACTCTTGCTGCTGCAGCCTTTGTCGGCCCTTGTGCTGCTGTAGACTCCTCCAGCAGCACTGCTGCAGCAGTGCCGCTGCAGCAGCAGAGCCCTGTTGTTTGCGTTTAAATGCGTGCATCATATGCCTCTGCGATAGCTTCGCTGGCGCTGCGCTGAGGCGGGCCCGCTCTCTCAGCAGCAAAACCCTGATGTATAACCTGACCCTTCCACTCCTGCCAGGCTGTTGTCTTAGGCTCCTGCGGCGTCCCTCCAGTCTGCAGCCAGCAAGACAGAACGCATGCAGCAGCAGCAGCAGCAGCAGCGGCAGCATGAGCATGAGCAGCAGCAAAACATATAGCAGGGGATAAACAAACAACACACTGCACCAAATAAACAAATAAATAAACACACAAACGAATGCAAACAAGCAGCAGACAGAGCGACAGAAGATAAAAAAATAAAACAAAACATAGACATATTTACAAAGAAAAAGAAAGTATGCATGCATGCATATGAAGACGAGGAGAAGCGCTGCAATAAAGTACAGGCATCTGACCATAAAATAAACAAAGCAAATAACAGAAGGAAATATTAATAAAGAAAAAACAAAGAAAAGTAAAAAGAAATTAACAACAGAAACAAAACAAGAAATACCGCAACAAAAAAAAATAATCAACGAATGTAACTCCATACATATAATAAATAATATAAATAAATATAATAATAATATATTAAACAAACAAATAAATAATATAAATAAATATAAATAAATATAAACAAATATATATATATATATACATATGCCTACCAGAAGGCTTTCTTCAGTTTGCTGTGCATCGATGACGCCTAAGAAATCTGCATGCCTCCCCATCAACTCTTCTCTAATTTCAACACGATCTCCGTCTTCTGCAACAGGTTTATATTCAGGTAAAGCCTTCTGGCTCCTCTCGCCTCCTGCTGCTGCTCCTGCTGCTGATCCTGCTGCTGCTCCTGCTGCTGCTGCTGAGCCGGGATATGCAGCAGCACCACCGCCAGCAGCACCCGCACCAGGGCCCACCAGACCCGCTGCAGCTCCACCGCCACCCGCAGCAGCAGCAGCTGCTGCAGTTAGACCCCTAGGAGCAGCTGCCCCGTGCTGCTGCTGCTGCTGCTGCTGCACATTTGTAGGGCCGCATGTTCTGCTGCCTTCATCCAAGTCGCTGTCGCTGCTGGTTGTAGAAGAGCTGAGGGAATCTGAGCTGCTGCTGCTGCTGCTGCTATCACTATCGCTGCTGCTGCTGTCGGAGTGTGCTGCTGCATCTCCCGCATGAAAGCCTTTCCTACCTCCTGCTGCAGCATTGGTGCCTGGGCGTTGCTGCTGCATATGTCCAGCAGCAGCAGCATTATTAGGATCTCCCGGACCACCAGCAGCAGCAGCACTAGGAAGGAGGCCTCTACTCATAAGAAGCTCTCTATTAGCCCTTACCATGCTATTAACATACGCAAACAGCCGCTTCTGCTTCTCTATTGACAGCAGCTCTGTATCTAATGCGAAGCTCCTATCATGCATATGGTCAGCAGCAACAATACCCAAGTCATCCTGCACCAATTCAAGTGCAGCACGGCGCTGCTGCGGCGACAGCAGCCGCATGTGCTGCAGCAAGATTCTTCGCTGGGTGCTGTTCAGCGGCTTATCATTTACGCCTATTCGTGATGCTGGAGGGGGGGGCAGCACTGCTGCATCTGCTGGAGCTTCAAAAGCAAGCATCTGCAAGTTATCTCCTGCTGCTGCTCCTGCTGCTGCTGCTGCTGCACTGCCACCTGCAGCAGCAATGCCTGCTGCAACAGCACCGCCACCCTCCCAGCCACCTACCCCTCGCGCTCCCACACCTCCTGCTGCTGCTGCTGCTCCTCCTCCTCCTCCTGCATACCGTTGTGCTGCTGCTCTACCCGACCGCCACCCTCTGTTGCCGCGTCGTGAAGGCGAAGCAGCAGCAGCCTGCTGCTTCTTTACGCTGCTGCTGCGGGCAGATCCATACTCATCATACAGCCCTTCATCACCCTCCAGCTGCAGCAGCTGCTGCTGCTGCTGCTGCCGCTGTTGCTGCTGCGCTCTTCGAGGCCGCGTGCGAACCCCCACCCCTCCGCTGTCTGCTGCAAAGGAAGAAACTCCTGCTGCTGCTGCTGCTGCAGCAGATCCGCTTCCCTCAAAAGGCTGATGATATGCAGCAGCAGCAGTTTGTGCGTCTCCTCCTCCTATACCGACGGCGCTGCGGTCGTTGCTGCCTGTTGCATACCCTTGCTGCTGCTGCTGCTGCTGCAGCAGTTGATTAGTTTGCTGCGCGCATGCATCTTCTGCATGAGGTGCAGCAAGAATAGCGAGTATTTGCTCAAGTTTATTTTGTAGATGAGGGGTGCCATGCTGTGTGGGTGTTGCTGCAGCAGCAGCAGCAGCAGCTGCTGCTGCTGCTGCTGCTGCGACACCCGCTGCTGCTGCTGCAGCCGTTGTTGTTGCTGCTGCTTCCTCTGTTTCTGTCAGCAAGTCTGCATAAGGATTTACTTCATTAATTAGTTTGCAGCAGCGTTCAAACTCAACAGCAAGTATAGTAGCATCTCGCCAGACTTCGTTTGAAGCAGCATGATAAGAAAAGGCATTAAAAAAAACCTGCCGCACATCTTGCTGCCACAGGAAAGGGTGAGTATACACCCCCTGCAGCAGCTTCTGTTCGACTGCATGCAGATCCATCGGGCGTTGAACAACCTCTAAATAGTCGGGGACGTTATCTGCTGCAGGGTCTACAGGAAGCAGAAACCAGTGTGCAGCTCGCTGCGCTTTCAGATGCAAAAGGATAGCTAAGCAGCACTCTCTCCATTGAATACTGCTGCTGCTGCTGCTGCTGCTGCTGCTGGAGGACGAGGAAGAAGAAGAGCCCCGTGGACGGCTGCTTCGCAGCAGACGCTGCTGTGAAGAGGCGCCCATACCATACGTGCTGCTGCTGCTGCTGTTGCTGTTGCTGCTGCTGTCTTCTCCCCAGCCCGCATCACTCTCTCCGCTCTGACTGTCTTCTCCGTTCATAGGCCGTCTGCTGCTGCTGCGCCGCGTGCTGCTGCGCCCCACACCCCCAACACCCTCCACTTGCATGCTGCTGCTGCTGCTGCTGCTGCTGCAGTTGCGACGGGGTCTGCTGCGCGTGCTCTGACTGAGCAGCGATCCTTCCCCGGAGTGTGTGGGTGCGCCAGCAGCAGCAGCAGCATCAGCAGCAGCAGCAGCATTTCTGCTGCTGCGGAGGCCTTCTCCCTCAAAGTCTTCATACTTTGTAGTTAATCTCTTCTGTCTTTTGCTACCCACCTCTAATCCTGTGTTGCTGCATGCAGATTGCAGCTCTTCTAACTCTTGTACAATGCGTCTAGACGGCCGTGCTCTGCTGCGCGCAGAGCCCTTGCTGCTGCTGCTGCTGCTGCTGCTGCTGCTGCTGCGGCGACCCGACACGCCGCAAGGCACCAGCCGCCAGCATCGCTGCAGCAAGAAAGGCTGCAGCAGGTTCAATTCTTCTTCTCCTAAGAGCAGCTCCCCGCACTGGCACTGTACTGCATGCACTGCAGCAGACAAAACCAGAGGAGGAGCAGCAGCAGCTGCTGCTGGCGATCCTGCTGCTGCTGCTGCTGCTGTTGGGGATGCTAATGCTGCTGAAGGCGCAACTGCTGCTGCAGCAGGGGCGCTGTTGCTGCTGCTGCTGCTGCTGCTCCCACCCATATCTGATTTAGCAACGGATTGTCCTGCTAATGCTGCAGGTGTTGATGCCGGCGCTGCTGCTGCTGCTGCTGCACCAGCAGCAGCAAGACTCGGAGCTCCTTCTGCGCCCCCTTTGGGGCTGCCTACGCATAAAGTCGGCTGAGGTGCTGCTGCACTTGCAGCAGCAGGTGCAGCTGCAGCAGCAACTGCAGCAGCATCTGCTGCTGCTGCAGCACCTGCTGCTGCTGTCCCTGAACCCTCGCAGTGCTTCAACTGCGTTTCCAGTGGCTGCTGCGCAGCAGCAGCAGCAGAGGGGCTGCTGCTGCTGCTGGCGGTCGCCTCACTGCCGCACGCGGCTGCTGCTGCTGCTGCTGCTGCTGCTGCTGCCTCAGGTTCAGCAGACGATGCCGGTGGTGGTGAAAGTTGTGCTGCTGCTGTTTGCAGCACGGAATGCTGTGGCTGATGTTGCTTTCGTAGTTCCTGTACAAGAGGGGTGCCCTCTTGCTGCGGCTGCTGCTGCTGCTGCTGCTGCTG